CCGGGTGCTGGACGTCCGCCAGCCGGGCCAGGCACTGCTTGAACTCAAGGGCCACGCTGCGCCCGTAAACTGTCTGGAATGGTCTCCGTCCCGTCGAGGCACGATAGCCACGGGAGCAGACGACTCGCTGGTCCTGATCTGGGACCTCATCAACCAGAACAACGCTGCCGCCTTGCCACTGCCCCCCCAGCAGCCACAGGGCCTTCACTCCGGCGGCAATGGCAACAGCAGCAATTCTACCGCGACCTCGACCAGCGGCAACGGGCCCTCGACCCTCGAACGAGGCCCTGCCGCCGCCTGGCGCTGTGACTATGAAGTGTCGAACATCAGCTGGGCGCCTCACATTCCTGCCACCGGCCCGGGCAGAGACTGGGTTGGCGTCTGCGGTGGAAGAGGGCTCTGGGGAGTGTCCATATAAAACCTTCTTCATCTCTTCTATTCATCTCTCCCTATCTCTCCCTATCTCTTTCACTCTGGCACCCTTTTATCATCACTTCTCTTCTACCTACCTGATCTACACCTACTTTTGGCCATGGTTATATTCTTTGGAAGTGTGGGATCAAAAGAAATCAAAAAAAGAAACACACGGGGCAGGATGGCTTCGATGTCTGTATCTATGTCTAACTATCAACTATATGAATCGTCTTCTCTTCGTCAATTGGGGTGGGTTTCAGGGGCCGGGGGCCATGATGCTGGGGGAGAGAAGGGCTGCTTGAAGATTGATACTGTGCTATATACTCCCCTTATACCGGGTCAATAATATCTCCATTCGTCTAGTCTTCACATCTACGTCTCTGCTATCCCGTCTATCTACATCACTGTCCACGATCCAATGCCAATATCCAATATCTAGTTAACTGGAGCTGCGCTGTCAAGGCCCGCCGTCTCCCCCCTATCAACTGCCCCTATCAACAACGCCGTCTTCCACCACAACCAGCGGCTGCTCATCGCCCTCGCTCTCTTCTTCTTCTTCTGCTCGCTGCCGCGCTTCGTCTCGTCCATCCCGGCGGCTTCTTATCACTTCTCCCTCCCCCATGGCCCATCCTGGCCCCGGAAAAAGAAAAAGTCCTTCTAGAAGTCTTGAACTTCCAACAAAAAAACCACCAACTCCTCTTTAACGAACTCCAACCCTCCCTCACCCCCAGGATCCCGACTGCGCGCGCCGCCTGAAAAGACGCCCTTCGATCATGTCGCTGCCTCGCATCTGATCCCGCGGCCTCTTCTCCAGACGCCATGGACCTCAGGACCATCATCAACACCGACTCGGCCGTGGGCGCGGCCCGGGGTCCGCAGCTACACCAGCAACCACCACCATCACAGCAGCAGCAGCAGCATCACCAGCAGCAACAGCAGCAGCAACAACAACAGCGTACACAGCGGCCGCTCTCAATACACTCGCTGGGGCCGGACGAGCCTCCGCTGCGCAGCGGCAGCGTCCACGATGAGCATCCGCCGCAGCACCACGAGTACGGCGGCGGCCCAGCTGGCGGACGGCCGTCGCAACCGCTGCAGCCTCCTCTGCAGTCCCCCAAGCGCATCTCAGCGCCGTATATGGGCTCGACTGCCCAGTCGCCGTACCAGCAGCCGCCGCTCGCCTCGATCCTGACCGGCAGAGAGCCCGGCGAGCGCGCCAGCAGCGTGCTGCCCGTCCCGCGAGAGCCATACTCGGCCTCCTCGCTGCCTCCGCCCTCTGCGGCCTCGCTCTCCTCGCCCTTCACGCCCCAGCCGACCAGCGCCGGCACCCAGCACTCCTCCTACTTCTCCCAGCAGCGCTCTCAATCAGCCCATTCGGCTGCCTCGCCGTCGTCGGTGCGCAGTCTGTCCTATCCGTCTGGCCGTGAGCCTTCAGGCCACCCTTACTCGCCCAGCCAGCAGCACCAGCAGCAGCCGCAACTGCAGCAACAACAGCAACAACACCAGGCATTCCATCACCAACAGCCGCCGCCGCAGCAGCAACAACAACAGCAGCATTATCAGCAGCAGCAGCAACAGCAGAGATCGCAGCCAGGGACACCTCTTGCACCTCCAGGATCTTCCTACCGTCGACCATCCCCCCATCCGGTCCGCCCCCCGTCTTCAGGCCACGATGCTCCCCTGTCGGCTCGTCTGGGAAGCCCCTGGGGCAGTCAGGATGCCTCCTCCGGTGGCCAGAGAGACGGCGTGTCTCCAACGGTGCATACGCCCATCTCACGGCACAATTCAGTAGCTACAGACTCTTATCCCCGGCAGTTCTCCATGGAACGGGAAAAGGAGCAGCACCTTGATAGTGTCAGCCCAAAGACCATCGTTTCTCAACAGGGAGCCGCCCCGTACGGTGATATCAGCGCCAGCAACGCCATCAATAGAGACAATGCCATTGGCAGCAACCATAGCACACTCAATCAATCCGTCCAGACGCCCCATAAGGACCCGGAATTGGCCCAGCAAACAACTCACCAGCCGGGACTGGAACATCAAACCCTTCCTCCCACCACTGCTCGTCCGTCTTATCCTCCTTCAACTCCACAGACCGCATCCATCAGTAACATAACAAACTCAGCTACCACTGCCTCTGGCTCACCTACCGGTCGTCGTCCGGTCCAGGAAGCATCACCGACACTCCAGCACCACCCTTTCCCCCCTAAACCTCTGCACCAGCCGCGCTCCAGCATCTCTGCAGCTCCAGGACCCTCTTCCGCTGTAGAACGTGTCCCAATGTGCCCCCCACGGAAGAAACGCAAGAGATACACCCAGCCTCCTATATTTGCCTGCAAGGCTCCTAGAACTTCCGGCACTCCTCCCCCCATCCCTCCCAAGGGCAGCCAGGCGCTGGCTCAGCCTCCACCCTCCTCCCTCTTTCCAGGTAAACGACCGTTACCCAAGCGTGAAAGCCTCGACCGGAATCTCACTTCAGACTCGCTTCCTCCGCGACCTTCAAGGGATGCCGACATGGCGGTCAATGGCAATGCAGTCAAGGAATCAGCTGCAGATAACCCCCTAGGACCTTGGGAGCCTACGATCACAAATGTCATCCCGTCAGAGGAACTGACCAAACTGATATGTGATTTCTTGTTTCAACAAGTTGTCATGCGCAAAGATATCGGCGCCGGTCCAGCTGGTGGTATGGCTGTTGGGTCGGGAGCCATCCTCGAGGTCGAAGCCAAATTGGGCAGACTGATAGACAAAAGTCGGGGCGAGAGACTGCGTCTTCCCATCCTCTCAGAAACTGTCATCAGCAAGGACGACCCCAATCTGAGGCTAGCCTTTGAAAGTTCAATGTCACAGGTAATTTTCATTTTTTCCCCCTTATTTTCCCATCGCTTATATATATATGTGAGTACTAATTATATATATTTTCTCTCACGATCCAGGCCCAACACCGGGCGATGAACAACTTCCTCAATGAGGCGGTCAAAACATCCATATCCCAAGGAACAACACGCATCCCGCTCGCCTACGCTCACAAACGTGAACGAGATACTTTCTACGACATATCTGCCAACGACCTCCCTCCAATTGTCCAACATCATCTACACCCACGCCATAAGCCCAGGGTGAGGGTAACCACAGACGTGCGCACAGGAGCCGTCATAGCTCGTATCGTCAAATGCCGTATTGCCGACCTAGACGTTTACAGTCCGCGAACGTGTCTTGACTGGCGCATCAGTGTGAACCTCGAAATGAACTACGACGGAGACCTAACCAAGTTGCAGCAGACAAGTGACTGGAAACGAAGCGGTGATCGAAACAAAGACCGCATGAGTTACAGGCATCTGGCATACCAGATAGACCTAACACAGGTCGGAACAACAGACGTACTTCTTCCTTTCCCCAGCTACCTTGTTTCATCGAATATCTGTCTAACCGTACAATATATAGAGCACCCCTGCAGACTTCGAGCATGAGCTTGAAATCGAAATATCTTCAGCGGAAATCCGACGGCAAGGTGACCTCGCGTTATCTGGAGACATGAACAACCAGTACGAAGACCTCATCAAAGGATTTGTAGACAATATCCGTGTTCTTGCCAGGGCCGTACCAGGCTAGCCAATCGATGATGGTTATATACTTGCAGCCTAGCATGAGGAGAACCGTTCAAATGAGAAGAAGGGTTTAGAGCGAGAAGGAGAAAACAACCGATTCCTTACTCTTCACTTTTGTTTTGCCTTTCTTTTTTTATGATGACTACCATTAATTTGATACCATGCAGCAGCATTTTTAGTTATAGCATTCAATAGCCTTTCTTTCCTGTATTGTAGTATTTCCAACCTACTCATAACTAGATGGGGAGAAGGAGGATGGATACCTGCTAAAAGAAAACTGATTAGTTTATTATCTTCCACCCATCCTCATTATATCCGGTCCGGGTTTTTATGAATATATATCCCTGGCTGATTGGAGTAACAATGACTTTTAAATTTCCTTGAGGAGTAGATCTGTATGTGTATGTATATGTAGGGACTCTAATTCAGACAGTCATGAGCGTGAGCTTGAGCTCCAGAGAGAAGGAAAGAGAAGGAAATAATAATATTGACAGGAAAAATGAAATAAACCGTACATGTCTCATGGGAAATCAAAATCAAAATCCAACAACTATCTAAAAAAGAAAGCAAATACCAGAGCAAATCACACGTCCAGGGAGTTATAAAAAAAAGATAGAAATGACAAGTTAAGAGGGTGAAATACGCGGGTAGATTAAAACCAAATCCGCGAGAAAACTCCAAAACGGCTGCAGGACATAAATAAAAATAGGTAAATAATAAAGATGAAGGGACATGGTCAATATATCAACTTGTGTCGAAGTCCATACAGAGGAACGTATTACTTTTGTAAGTTCCCTTCATTCCGTCCATCCTGTACTCCTTGACAGGAAAAGGTAAAGGGGAATAGAAAGCCGTTAAAAGGAGGATGGTTCGTAAATAAAACAGAGAGTATATGGCGTGCTCCATGCGTACGGAGAGTATAAAGTATTCCACGGGTAGTGAAATCAGTCCCTGAGAGAAAGGCAGTTCAGAAAGATATTAGGATATGCCTAGTCCCATTTTAACGGGTATAACTCCAGTATTCTGGTCCTGGGTGTCGGCAGTGCTAGCGCCTCTCTCTCTCGTTCGTCTTCCTTCCATAAGTCCTCTAAGACCACGCTTCTGCAAGCCAACAACGCTGCTGATATTAGCTGTCCAAACATCTCGGCTGACCTTCATTCGGCCGCGTTGGTCATGCTGTGCTAGCTCGGCCTCGGGATATCCTAGACCACCGCCACTATTGCTGGTAGATGCAGAGTTGGGTATACTAGTGTTTTCAGCTGATTCGGCGCGGTTCCTACCGTTACTAAAGTTGGTGTTGATACGGAGGTTTGCGGGTCGTTGAGAGCTTGAGGAACGTCCTGCGGTGCCACTGGAGACAGAGGCAGTGCTGCTGGCGGTGTTAGGTCTGTCTATGGATTCGGCGTCCGATGAATTAAACGAGCTTATGCCGTCTGCCGCTGTGCTTGGGCGACGGTAGTCAGCTACGCTTGACTGAGAGCGGGAGTGCGAGTGGCTATATGAGCGGGAATGTGTATCGTGGAGAGAATCCATAGTTCCGTCAAATGCGAGCGCAAGGTTGGTACCGCGGCCTCCACCAGCAGCCATGGCGGCAGCGTTGAAAACGGCAGCGGCGTTGCGGCCATCAAGGACTTGGTGCAGGCGTTCCACAGTGGCTTCCAGAAGGCCATCAACCTGGTACGGTCGAGCGAGTTGAAGGAGGGAGCAGAGGATTTGAGGCGTACAGAGTGCAGAGCCTACTGGGGGAAGAGAGGAGGTGTAGAGATAGTGAACTAGAAGCTGAATGGTGAGGTAAGTGTGAGGTAAATAGAGAGTTCGAGGCCGTACGGCTGGTGGAAGGCTGTGTGCAGATGGGATATCAAGATGAGATGCTCGGGATAGGCAAGAAGAGGCGGATGAAGAAGATCCTGGTGGCCGCCCGCCGGTATCCTTATGACTGTTGACGTTGTTTATGGCTCCACCCATGGACGTATTGTTGCTGTTATTCGAAATTGTGTTAACCAAGGTTGTGGCGGTAGAATACTGGCTGGCAGTGCTCAGGGATGGAGTGATGGTAATTGTCGAATTTCGACTATTTAACGCAGCGTTGGGCTGGCGCAGCGTTGCTGCATCGTTGATACTATCCCCGGCTACTGCTGTAGCTTCGCAAAGCAGTTGGACAAAGTAAGGTCCCCATCGGCGAGAAAGGACGTGAGAGCTGACGGGGATACGTTCACCGCCAATTGTAAGCAAGTCCATGTCAGCTAGCTCAGTACATGCTTGTGCCATTAGACCCAACTTCTCTGCCGCTGCCGATAAAGGTCGCCCGCCGGAACACTGAATTGAGAATTTTGGCTGCAAGGCCGGACGCAGAGGAGGCGCACTCACGGACATATATCCAGATGTGGGCGCAGCTCTCCTGGGGTTTTCGTAGAGACCAAAGGCTTCCAGCTCGACCATGCATATATGCGAAAAGTTAATGCGGCGATGATTATAATCTTCCACGAGATTTCTCTTGCGGTGTCCCAGAATAACGAAAGTGCTTCTTCTGTTCCAGATAATACCACGGTTCCAGCTACCACTTGAAAATATGGAGCCACCAGCATCAATGCGGCCCCATGTCATGGTCTTTAGGTCAAGCGCCCATAGAGCATATTCCTGTTTAGAAGCAGTGAGATAGGTGCCGCTGACGACGAAATGGCCATTAATAACGCCACCGTTAGGAAAACGTAGTCCCGGTGGAGAAACAGAGGTATCCATGGCCTTTTCAACAAGTTTCCCATCGGGAAGGCGAGCTTGAAGTTCCAATTTCACATCGAGGAAGTTATAATTTGAATAGATCAGCATTGACGAGCCAGGCATCCCTGCTGCGTCGTGGTTGTTACTAACGTTTGCCATATCTTTATCAGTCCTTTCAGCGCCCAGATCATTGACTGACATCCCCGCCAGCGGGACGACGACAGAACGGTATGCACCGCAACTGCGGCCCAGCGGGCTAGTGGCAGTCCATTTCAAGCTCCGAAGGTTGAACACACTTATTTGTTCGATGTAGTGATTTGAGCTATCCTGGCCACCGACGACGACCATCTCAGCGCCTCCATAACCGTCTATTTCTACACCGATGGAACCTTGGTGCGGATTTGAAGTGGAGGTTGACGGGTTATTGTGTATAGCTGTCATGGGAGCATTGGCGGAAACGAATGGCGCCGAAGACGGGAGGATAGTTGCGCAATGGGCGTATCGTCCCTGAGGAGTGTTTGCAGTATTGATATGGGTCCATGTCCTGGTTACGACGTCGTAAATGTGCACGTCTGACATGACAACAACTTCAGGCTGAGCTTCCTGCCCTGCTGAATGGGAGGAACTGACGTTGGTAGGCGGGTGTCCGGCGACGGCAGATCGCGGGGACATACCGCCGTAGCAGACGAGCTTAGTGTCGCCCAGCGGGCACATGCTATGAAAGTATCGTGGAGGAGGCACATCACCAGTGGGGTGGATTTTTGTCCAGTGTCTTTTGATCAGGTCTAGCTCGTAGAGGTCAGAGGTAAGCTCTGGTCGAGCTCTAGATAGTAGCCGGCCGCCAAAGACATATAGTTTGTCGCCTAGGATCGTAGTTGTGGCGCCGACGAGGGCGTGCGGCTCTCGACCGGTGGTGCGGTGGACATTGCACACCAGACCCGAGAGATTTGTTGGGCCTGCAGTCGCACTCGTCCCATTTTGCGTCTGTTGCTGTTGCTGTGGTTGAGACAGTGATTGCGACTGAGAATGCGAGTGCATGGGCAAGCTACTACCGGTGATGGTGGTTTGGTTCCCGGCAGAGTCACCTCCCCTGGAGGAGGAAGGGCGTCTGGTGGAAGCCATGGAGGAACAGTTGGACGGTTCGCTTTCACTCAGTCGGGAGAGAATGGACGTTGGCGGATACGCGAGGTTCGGCAGTGCAGGCAATAGTGGCGAGGCGAGTAAATGTTCCTGCGAGCGTCCATAAGGTGAAGCAGGAGTAGGTGGCGGAGTTTGCTCAGTCGTGGGCGAGAGCGGAGGCGAGAGAGGTAGCGGTGTACTGGTTGCCGAAGCAGAAGCAGGTGTAGAAGCAGACAATGGAGCAGAAACAGGAACTGTCTGCTGTCGCGAAAGTGAGGATCCTCGGGGTCGTGGAAAGGGGAGGGGAGGCGTGGGCAGTGGGAGGCTGGCGTATCTGTCGTCTAGTAGTATCGAATGTAGAACCTCAGGCGAAGAGTCTGCGCGAAACCAAGACTGCGACGCAGGGACAGTGGAGGAGCGAAGTCTAGCCTCTCCGTTTGTGCTCCTGGCAAGTCCTGGAGTTCCGCCGGCAGCGGGAGTCGTAGGGCTGACAGTCTCGTCGACGGAGAGAACAAACTCGTTTCTGGACTTGCTCTTGCTCCTGCTCCTGCTCCTAACGAGATCCGAACCTGATCGAAGGTACCTCTTCACAGAAGCGAAACGGCTCGAGCGCGAATTTGAGTGCGAGTGCGAGTGTGAGTGCGAGTAGGGTGATACATTTGCGGATGCAGGTGCAGGTGCGCCAGGCGTTGTACTCGTATTTGCATTGAACAAGGACAGCCTTGGGCCTGCTCCTGATCCTGATCCTGAAGCAGAGCCGGAGCGAGAGCCCAACGGCGAGGAGGACTGCTCGGAGCCTGCCATGATGTCAGTGAACATGTCCAACCGGACGCCATGGTTCAAGAGAGACATGGCCGTATCTCTTATATATATAGCTATCCCCTCCGGCCCCTTATGTATGCTCCATATATACTCCGTACAGCCCCCCTTGTATAGATGGACAGACAAGAGGAATATAGGGAGGGAGGGGAAAGGCCAGAGAGAGCCATTATAAGAGTGTTGGAGCGTTATATTCTAGCATAACACTTTTTTTTCTTTTCGTACAGGTAACAATCACCAACGTACGTACCTCTCAAGCAACCTGGACAATATTACCCTGACCCGGCCAGCGGTCTCGCCGATACCATACCAGTCGAATTCCCACAGCGTCAGGTGTGCCTGGCAGACATATCCATGTAGGTTAGTTTGCGGCGCGCTGAGAGAAGATGGAGAACAGAGAGGGAGGCGGGAGAAAAAGGAAGAAGACAAAGGATGCAGGCCTGGACGAACCAAGTGGGCGAGCCGAGCGGTCGACCAGGAACCCCAGGGCTATCTGAAACGCCGGGTGGGCCGGGAGTCGCTGGCAAGCTGCTGCTCTCGACGATGATCCGAATAACGCCCGTTAGGCGACGACGTTGGCGAGTGATGCGCTGCGAATGACGCTGGTTGCTGGAGTTGTTCGTTGTTCGTCGTTGCGGTCGACGTTGAATTTGAAGTTGCGGACGTTGAAATTGACGTTGAAGGTGGGATGCTTGGCACCTCGAGTTACCGCATTGGGCCATATTAGGGGGGGGCGGCCGCCGTGAGCCCCTGAGCAGCCGACAAGCGAGCGCCGACGAGACAGACGAGACAGACAAGATAGACGAGATAGACGCGGAAACAGAGAAGACAAGTAGAGAGAAAAAGAGTAGTAGTAGTAGTAGTAGCGAAGAGGAGTTTATTATTACTATTTACAGCCAATTACATACGCGAGTCTTCCTTGAGGGTAACGTATCGGAGGTATCTGCAGCAGTTAGTTGGCATATCTTAGAGTGGCACGCGCGCAGGGGAAGAGAACACTCACGGCTTGACTTCTCTAACCTGGCCAAACTTCTTGGAGGCATCATCAGTGCTGACGAACGGAGGGACAATGACGTCGTCGCCCTTCTGCCAGTTGATGGCGGTGTTGACGGTGTTCCTGTCAGTGGTCTGCAGGGCGTCGACGCAGCGCAGGACCTCGGCAGTGTTGCGGCCGGTCGTGGCTGGGTAGCTCATAATCAGACGGATCTTCTTCTTTGGGTCAATGATGAAGACAGAGCGGATGGTCATGGCCATTCCTGTATAGATTGGACAACTAGTTAGCATCATGTTGCACTCCTGCAGCAGGGGTATATCAAAGGACTGACCCTTCTCGTCGACGTTGGTGGTGTCCTGGTAGTCGATCATGTCGTAGAGGTAGGAGACCTTGCGGTCCGCATCTGCAATGATGGGGAACTGGAGGCTGCAGCTGTTGACCTCGTCGATGTCCTTGATCCATTCATGGTGCGAGCCGATGCCGTTGGCAGACTGGTTGCGTCCGTTAGATCTTATTATGCATGGAAAGGGGAGCAATTCAAGGAAGGACGTAGGTTACTACGCACCAGGCCAATGAGCTTGACACCACGCTTGGTGAACTCGGGCTCTAGTTTGGCAAAGGCACCCAGCTCAGTGGTGCAAGTAGGGGTGAAGTCATCCTGTCCAGTCCCAGCAGTCAGCAATTAACTAACTAACTAACTAGTCAACCAGCTCTTTCTAAGCCACTGCCTAGCACAGGGTCGCGAGCACCAACGCACAGGGTGAGAGAAGAGGATGACATAGTTGTCACCGATGAACTCGTGGAAGTTGATCTCGCCCTTGGTGGTGATGGCCGTGAAGTCGGGGGCGGTAGATCCCAGACGGAGGCTGCAGGATGGCTGGCTGTTAGTACAATCGATAAGATGCGGGGTGGCGGGAGGGCGGGCTTACGGAGCGCTGCGTTCAGCCATTGTGTGCTAGATACGGAGACTGGAGTAGAAGATGGCGCTGACGATGAAGCCGAAGACGATGGTAATGAGTAGTAGTAGAAGAAGAAAAAGAAGCAGCAGAAGAAGACGACGATGAGGAAGACGATGAGGAGCAAGAGACGAAGCCGGCGAGATCCATATAAAAAGCCCGGCGGGTGGCCCCTCGATGAGGTAAGCAGGGACGGCGTCCCCCTCCCTCGCTCGCTTCATCACGCCATCTTGGTCGCAAATACGAAAGCAGCGCAGCCGCTGATTGACGATGTTGATGATAAATACTACAGAAGGGCAGAGAAGCTGGCAGAGACGGCCGGATGGCGAGGGCGGGTAGGATCAGGCTGTTGACGGGATGGCAGACAGACATCAGGTGTAGCTCAATTGATTGGTAGTGAGTGGTGCTGCTGCTGGCGGTCGAGAGACAGGGCGTAAACTAACTACAGCTTGATTCTACATGTATACGCAAGTTCAACGACACTCTGCACCTGCATCACACCCATAAAGATGCCCTCCCATGCATAAACGAGGCGTCTCTGCCTTCTGAACCATCCATCGCCTTTCATCTCGAAAAATGCTAGATTAGCTTAGCCATCTCGAAAAAATCTCGGAAATATGTTTGGGCTGTCATTCCACTCCTCCTGGCGGGCCCCTTGCTCCCAAATTCTCTGCTCGAACTGCTCCGTATTATGATACGCTGTATGGGCTAGTCACTCTCTGCCTTCTTTGCTTGCTCCAGGGAATGGTCATTGTATATAGTACTCCGTATTAGTCGAAGTCAACTCCAGCGTCTCGACTTGAAATCCCTGCAAGCCACATCCGTCATCCCGTCCTGTCTTAGAGGCAAGAGACACGATAGCATATATGAATAAGGACCCCCAGGTTCTGTTGATCATTGACGATCCTCAGCATGCCTTATATATACAACTCCACACTTGATAGCTTCTGCCCTTTCCAGTTTGCTACTAAGCAGCGAAGTAAGTATGAGTTTTAGGATGCTATGTATACACACCCATATAGCAGTGACTTGATATCAGTCCCTATACTCCGTACATCATATTAGATATATCAGCCAGCCCACTTCTCCTAGATCTTAAGATTTCCTAGGTCAGGTAGACCAATATTCTTAGTAGACTTGCTTTCAGGAGCATGTACCAATTTCTATGGCATGGTGATCTTATGGCTATCAAGTGGGAAGTGTTGGAGTGTTGGAGCTGCAAATTATAACTGAATGGAGTAACTGGCCCGGAGGGTATAAAATAGTGACTATCAAGCAGTGCAACTCACCATTATTATCATTATTAGACGGATTGTCTTCCCTCCTGTTAGAAATGATGGTTTCTCCGTGATGGACCTGTAATGGGACCCTACTTGGGATCCAGGACTACCCCTGAATCATTTAGCAGCTGCTGCTAGAGAGTTTCCTCCAGGGAGTTAGTGGGGCCGCCGTCCAGTCTTATTTTAATGTTTAAATCCTTCTAAGGGTAAGGAAAATGTAGTAAGGCTTCTTTCGAGCCTGGATGTATAGTCACACAAAGTATACTTCTGTATGGGTTAATGTAACTCTAGTCTAGGATTCTCTGTGTATCGTCTCAATGGGTAACATGATTCATGGATTTCATAAGAATAGAAATATAAAAAGTAAGCTTTCCTTTCACTTTGGGGGAGAGACTTCGCATTGGTCCCAGTTGCCGTTGGACCTTGCATAGGTCAATCCGTTGATAAAATCATCCAGCTTGCATCGTCCAAGGAAGTCGGTGTGACAACCCTGAAGGGGGAAGACCCGATCGTTGAGCAAGACACGGACGTACTCTTGCTTAGCAGATGGAGAGTGGTCACACACCATCTTCTCAAAGTAAGCTCTGGCACCGAATGGGACGGTCCAGGAGGCAGAGTAGCCGGAAGCATCGGCAGGGTCGGTGATTTTGGTTGGGGAAAGAGGCTTGGTGGCGTTGAAAAGTCCCATAGCGGTGAAGATGACTGTCATGCTGTTGTCGTGGCTAAAGTCAGCGTAGAGTGGCAGACCGAGTGGGAAGGTCTTGGGGTTGTCGTCTAATTCGTGATCAACGGTTGTGTTGTCTTTGACAGGCGAACTGGTTAGTCTGGCGATGAGTTCATTGACATAGCCTATTCCGGGAGCAGGGCCAAAGGAGTTTCCAGGTCCGTGGCCGTAGAACTTGCCCAGGGTCTCGAGGTAGTCATAGTGACGGAACTCTTCGTGTGAGAAGAGATGGCAGAATGGAGAGAGCTTGCTTGCATCCGGAGTGCCGGCTACAGTGTCAAAGGGGCACATGGCCATCAGACTCTTGATGTCTCCAATCTTGATGTTGGCTCCTGGTAGCTTCTTGTTGATTCTGTCCACGATGGCCTGGGTAAATGTGCTGCGGAACTGATCGGTAACCTTATCCGCAGTCTCGTCATTGTCAAATGCATCACAGCCTTGGGGAGCAATTGGGTTCTTCCGGCGATCCTCTTCGCTAATGATGAGATCAAGCTTGGTGGCCCCGCCTTTCTCACTTCCTTTGGCCTTATTGAAGCCCTCCACAAACTTGTGGGCTGAAGCAACCACGCGCTCAGAGCCTGCGGATCGGACAAAGACCTTGGAGTCCTTGGTCAAACCATGGTACCGTTGGAAGAACTTGATGCCAGAGTCATACAGCTGGCTCTCGCCAAAGGGAGTCAGATCATCAGCTCCAAGGTTATATTTGTAGTCTTTTAGGAAAGCAAACTCGTCCTTAAACTCGGTGGCATCTTCCTGGATACGCTTAATCAGAGCAGAGTAGGTGGCGCTCTTGTCTGCTGTAGGGAACCGGGCGCCATGACGCTGGAGAGATTGCGCGAAGTTGATCTTGCAGCCCGGAGGAACAGCCGAGGAGATGACAGAGCGTCCTTCCAGCGAGAAGTAAGGGGAATACTGGCCCCAGAACTGAGAGTACTGCGGGAAACAGCCATATCCGCGGCTGGGAGTGCTACAGAACGAGGCCGCATCAATATTAATTTCAGCCGGTGTAGCAACGGCACTACTACCGAGTCAGCATATAGCCAGCTAATCAACACTTGGGGAGCTGTGGTGGAATATCAAAACTTACACCTGGACGCCCGAAATTGCCAACGCAGCAAACACGACAGAAGCCATGGACGACATCTTGCGACTGGATCTTAATAGTCAGCTCGGCTATTCACTGACCCTCCACAGCATGGAATGCGATGAGACGATCCCGGGCCTATTTATGTCTGCGCTGGGTATGCCAAAGGCCAGGGTCAAGCATCAAGAAGCCGCCGAACAGTGTCTCGTCCCCTCCTCTGTCTGCCTTCCATCACGAAGAAGAAGCAGAGGAGAAGAAGAGACAAGCATCTCTTGGGCCGGACAGGATCGTCGTCGTTGTTTCTTTTGCTGTGTCTCTGTCGTCGTACTCGCTTGACCCGCCGTGGAGGAGCCCACGCGCGCAGGATCACAGTCTGATTGGCCAGTCGACTCCGTCCGCCAATCGGAGGGCGACTGCGAGGAGAGCAGCGGGGCAGAATCACGGGGAGAAACCCTTGAAGTGGCAGCCAGAGAAAGATGCAGAGGATGCAGCGGATGCTGAGATGTAGAAAATCACGGAGCGGTACGGAGTAAGGCAGACTGCTGGCTGGGTTTGTTGTTGACGTTGTCAGGGATGGAGGTGGAGGAAAAGTAACGTCATGGAGTACGACGCCGAAAAGGGGAAGAAAAGAAAAAGGCGGCGCTGGGGCAGACGCGAGATTACATAATACGCGTTTAGGGCGGTTAAAAGACGCTCGGACCGAAAGCTTATCCGAGCAAGCGCAGCTTATCTAATAGTTGACCCGCAACTTTATTTCCACGTGATATGTTATTACGTAATCTGTTAACCCCTTTTTCTGTTCTTGCTAGGGAGAGAGTGAGATAAAGGGGTAGATAGTTAGAAAACGCAGTGAACTCCCAAAAATATTCTCAAATAGCAGTAGTACTACGGAGTACTTCATAGGCGTCGAGAAAAATCTAGTAACGATGAATATGCGACCTGACTAAGAAGAACGAACTAGATGGAAGCCTGATTTATGCAGCTGCAGCCATCCCAGGTCCATGGAACTCGGTGCAAATAGCTTGGGAGTCTCGAGCTCTCTCTTCCCCATCCCGTCGCCGCATCCTCGTCTTGGCCCTGCAGCTTGCAGCTTCGGAAGACCGGTTCTGACGCAGTGACGCGGCCTGCTGTGTGATGTGATAGCTAAGGCGTCCGACCATTCCCCTTTTCTGTCCTAGCTGTATTCTTACCCACTTCAAGCACGTCAGATGTGGTTTACTTGGACCCAGCCCTTTGGAGCAACCAAGTCATGTCAATAGCCGATAGCAACAAAGAGAAAGTAACCTTTGACAAAGAAGCTCTCCTTTCTATTCCCCCCCCCTTTCGGCTACGAAGGTAGATTAGTTTGCGCTGAACTGCAAAGGTAGTTAACTGACACAACTCCTTTCAGTAAAACCAACGGTGAAAAGCCTTTTACCCCTTTTCCAATCCCCCGCCAGTTCGGCCAGGGCCACCCAGAGTAACCAAACCCATGGCTCGAGAATGGTCCCCATTAGAACGAGAGACAAATGAAATTAACAATGAAGAGCTAGCAAATTAAAAGGAGAAGGTTTAGCTGTAGTAACAACATTAAATAGCCCAATTTCGTAAGGAAATAATACCAATTATTATAATAAAAAATAACAACAAAATATGCGTCATCCAACAGCAAGAGATACACATGCAACAGACGACTCCCGGCAGTTTTAGATGGCTATTGGTTACATATGAAACAGTATATAGAAGCGAGAAATGAAATAATAAAAAACAACACCACCGCCCCTTCCTCCCCCCCTGGACCAAGGCCATTCCGCGCCCCCCTCCCCCACGCTAGTTATCAGTTATGAAACGAAAAATGACACTATCAAAATAGGAAACAAACATGCCGAATCTGCCGCGTGTTTTCTTCCCTTTCCCTGTCTCTCTCATATATCACTTCTTGCTCTTTCTCAATTGTTTCTTTTGCGGTTCGTTTCACCGTCTTCATGCCCCGCGTGAACATAAAAAATCAATCGTGCGTGATTGATGGCTGCTGATATCGACCTTTCCTCGTTTTACTCGCGGACGTGGGTTGGTTATCATCACCGAACACGCCGGAGAGATAGGGCCAGGAATAAAAACAGACTGGGCGACAGAAAAGGAAAATCTAGAAGTAACTCGTCCCGAATATATAGGTAGACAAATAATTTTAGAGATGAGAGGACTGCAAAGGAAGGGAAAACCGGAGTACAGAAAAAAGAAATAAAAAATGAAGCATTGTGCCACCCTGGGTATCAATACAAAGAGGGTTGAAAGATGGAAGAGGTAACAAGAAAGAAGATATCAACTCAACCTAATGAGGTGGATAAATAGGAATGAGAGTCAGAGCAGAAAATTTCGCAGGTTGGCTGCACTCCATCCCGATCAAAAGAGGCATCAATGTCATTTTGATAGGGCATAGGGGTCATCACCATACCTTGCAATTCGATAGGGTAACCAGAGAGAAATAAAGGCAGAAAAGGAAAAACGAAAGACATGAAAAAACAGAAAATAGTATACGACGAAACCCTTAATAGGGTAGGGCCTCCAGCAAGTATAGGAACAATAGAAAAAGATGCAAAGCTAGGCCAATGGACAAAAGCGAGTATATAAAGAAAATAGGAAACAGTTTGACGCCTTCCAGCAGAGGTTGCCCTCTTCCTGCCATAGTAATATTGTAAGTATGCTGTTCCCGGGGCAATTTGTAGCCACAGTTCCTGCCCAGGCATGTTTATTAAAGACGACAGAAGTTGAAAAAGAATTGGACAGAATTTGGGAATTGATAGGAGCTATGAAAGGGAGGAAAATTTTGGGGAAAGGAGGATTAGGTGCTCTCAGGGAATAATTAGTTGATATTGAGATTAGATCAAAAGTATATGAGATCTGCATATACAGGTATGTGGTATCGGCTAGAGATCCAGCTCCAAGTCGATAAAGTGGAATATTGGCCCTAGTCTTGTGACCCTCTTATTCACCATCACTGTTCATGTTGGTGTTGTTGCTGAGGGTGTGGAAACGGTGGACCTTGCTGTTGTTGTTGGCTCTCATGTGGACTGGTTTGAGCTGCTGGTGATGTGGTAGTAGTTATGTCTCCGGGTTGAGAAGTGGTATTCACAGAAGGCGCACGCCAGGTCGATGGGTATGACAATGGATAGGATGGAGCAGGCGGTGTTTGAGTAGAAGGGGATATTGTTGAGGTCGGGACGAAGGGACTAGGAGTCTGAGATCCTGGGTATGGTAGATGGATTGGCCCGGCCCCGGTTCTCTGCCTAACATTGCGCCCCCCTGTGCCTCTCCCTCTGTCGTCTGGGTCAACCGAGGTACGCTCCCCTTCATCTGAGGCAAGAGAAGTGGCCCGAGATTTAAAAGTCCGAGGCGACGGTGGCCGTTGGGGTATTTGGGCACCAGGGGTCCTTGAATACATATCCCGGAAGAAATTTCGTTCTCTAAGGTAGAAATCTCTTTCTTCAGTAAGACTCCTTATTTCCTCCTCTTGTCTTCTAATGGTCTGCATTTGTTCTTCCTCCACGGCCTTCTTCCTTTGTCTAAACCTTTTGGAAGCACTGCTATTCTTTTCACGTTTTATCTTGGCTTTGATTGATCCGGAATCTGTGTCAAGAACGAGGGGAATGGACCAAGGAGGCACGTTTGCGGGATCCCCTGTACGGTCCCCGAAAAGTGACTGAGCTATGGCGCTCCTGGATGACCCAGACATAGCTGGATTTGATATGGGAGCAGGATGCTGATGCTGTTGCTGAATGTGAGCCGGCGGAACTGGAGCTGGTGATGCCTGGCTGAATGAACTATATGATGATTGAGGAGTGCGTGGGCTTGTCTCTTGAGACTGGGGATTATTCGGCGGTCGCTGATCATAGAAAATATTTGCAGCGTGAGTTGTACGGCGAGGCTGAGTTAATCTACTGGGAACCGTGGAGGAAGCAGAGTCAACATTCAACCTGGGAGCACCCTCTGCAAATCTCGGAGGCGGGGGGGACTGTAGAAATGGCGATTGCATTGCATTGATGGTACCTGGGACAGGAGGGTATCGCCCGCTACCTAGGCTTGCAGCGCGAACAGCAGGTGACTTTGGGGTTAACATCCTCCGTTCGACCCTTGGAGACATATTAAGGGTTTCATAATGATAGTGTCGTGTAGGCTGTGCTGGGGGTTGGACGGGAGAAGGCGTCCCATGAATATGCGCAGAAGGAGATGTAGCTGTGGATGTCGGAGATCCTAGCGGCTCCCGACTACCTTGACGTGAGATTGGCTCTGTCGGGGAGTGAGTCGATGGGTTAAGGATGGCCTGCATCCCTAAAGATCGAGACCGTTGCTGAGGTGCTACATTCTGGCTGGAAGATGTCGGTCTTCTAGTATGCGCAAGCTCTGGAAGTATCTCATCGCCCCTCATCGACCCCGACCGATTAGGAGGGTGCCCTTGAGCGCCATGCTGCACTTGTGGATCTACTGTCTCAACCTCATCTTGTGTAGGAGCTGAACGGCTGGTGGATGTCAGGAGTTGGCTGACAGGCTGGGTAGTCTCGTCGGAAGGAGAATTTGAAGCATAGGGCCGCTGCGACATAAGATTTTGTTCTCCTCCGAAGGGAAGTTGACCTTGGAAGTGGCATGGACGGTCCTTCCCTCTCTCCAAAGGACTACGGCCCTCGTGTAGCTGAAATTGAGAGAGGGAGGAGGGAGGACTAGGTAGGAAGTCGCCTGGACAATGGTCACGGTTTTCAGGATGGGGAGACAGCCTTGAAGATGTCGACCCTGAGTAGCCAAGGTGAGAAAGGCTTTGGGAAGTGAGGAGAGCCACGGTGAATAGAGGGTAAAGAGGTCCCCTAGACCTAGATATAGCTAAGTTTCACGGAGGAAGATTCAGCGGTTTCTTTAAGTAGTCGGCCTTCTTCGTTGTCGTAGTCAAGCACTTGATGCAGACGGCATAGACAGCTATCGAGCTCGGTGTCGTCACACGTCGAGAGGAGGAACAGGTGGAAATTGGCGGGATAGTCGACAGAGGAATAGCCTGTTGGCAAACGTCGACTGTATAGTGAGTGATTGGGTATTGGCCTCTTTTTTCAGGAGTACGGAGCAGAGAATATTCAACAACTGCAGGTCATGGAAAAGAAAAAAGGGCGAAGCATTCAAATGAAAAAGAGAATGAGGCAAGCACCAGAACTGAGGATACGAGAGGGCAGCCCTTCCATAAGGAACTTGGGACGATTGGCCATTTGCTTTTTCCTCATTATGATGAATAAGAAAATGGTCCTCCCAGATGGAAATGAAAAAGCTCCGCTATGATCTAGCGAGTTAAAGGCAGCTTTCATGGGACCGGGCGTACCGGAACTATCCCATTCATGGAGGGATGGGTACCCAAGATTCGTGCATAGAATAACAAATTAATCGTTATCGTCAACCAAAGAAAAAAATAAAAAATAAAACGGCGTGCAAATGAAAAATAAGGGAATGCAAACAAAAACTAAAATAAAAGAAACCTACCAAACAAGTCACAGGCACTGTCGCTCCGCCAGCTTGGTAAAGGGATGAGAATGGTGGCCCGCCAGTGGAGCGCAAGGCAAGCCTCTGCGCGGCGACTATTGGTCCGTTCAACCCTTGACGTGCTGGAGACTCGTTGTGCTTGAGTCAAATCCAAAACTGGGGGGGGGCACTATTTTGTGTTGTACAAGTGGTGCTTTTTATTTTGGCATGCTGGGCAGCAACCAGGCTGGTGCTGCGTTGCTTGGTTGGTCGTATCTTCAAGGTTACTAGCTGTTTTCTTTCAGGTGCTGGTCGTCCAAGTGGGCCTTGCGAGCCCCAGTGGAGAGAGTTCCCGAGGCGAAAGGCTAACGGCTGAGGATTCAGTCTTGCTTTGTAACTGGAACCCAGAGAGCGGCCAGAAGCCAGCAGATCAAGGAGATAAAAAGGCTGGACACGCGGGCAAGAGCGATGCCATCCCGCACAGCGCAAACCAACCCGGGGGGGGCCTCCCGCGGAGGTTGACTGCGCAGTAACCATAAACTCGAAGGATTTCGTGTCGAATATTTGCCGGGGGAGGAAAGGGTACGGGGAATCTCAGTTACCATTGGTGGCTGTTGCTGTTGCCATGGCCCGTTGGGAGCCTTCTCAGTTGCCCTTGTTTAAAGCCAGTCTAAAATACCTAAGAACGAACCTGTACCATCAGCATCAGAGCTGCAAAGTGGAAACAGTTGGGCTGCCAATGACTGCTGGTACTAGTGAGAGTTAGTTTTCCCTGGCTCATGTTACGAGATTTTCGATACTGGGTGGAAGAAGGGAAGTATCAGATTCTGTGCTTTGTTCTGCGAATCAACGTGGTGAAAGTCCCTGCTGGCAAGTAAGGAGATATAAGGGCATGGAAGTCCTGGTATGGAACTCATCTTCTCTCCACCTCATTCAAAGAAGGCAGAAACTGTCGAGATTGGCTGGGCTGAATATGCTGATCGTGACGGGCTGCCATGAGATTTCGATGCTGGCAACATCCCTGCTGAACGTGGAGAATAGCTCAGCAAGAAAGGAGCTTGGAAGCTCGGGTAAATGGCTCGAAACAGATGAAATTACCACATCAAAACCTCTGGATGGGTAAGAAAAGCAAACCATTCACTCAGATGAGCCCCAGCCTGTCTTACTGTTTCCTGGCACTCCGGAACTGCACTTGGCTTTAGTACGAATAAATGTGCCTTTCCAAAAGAGAGAAAATACACGTACCTCGAAGCTGGTACCCCTGCCCTAGCTCCGTACAGAGTAAGTACGTAACCTGAAAATTACCAGCCATACTGCATGTTTTCGTTACGAAGCGGAAAGATCTGGACATGACTTCTCTCCATACTCAGGCGTAATTTATGGAGAGTATTATTTGCCTGAGCGACCGAGTTCCACGTAATCGAGCCGGATGGAGTGAAACATGAAAACGTAGAATACATTTAGCAACATTCTAGAAATACCATCAGCAACGCTCCCATAACGCTCCCATGAGGGAACCATGCATAGTCTTCAGGTTGCGATGCGCAGATTATGGTGTATCATGGGCCCACACCTTCCTCAAAATGCACACAGATAAAATGTCCATGAAGGTAAGGGATATAAAGTGTGTTGGAGGAGGAGTGGCACTCCTCCCTTATTAGCCTTGTTCATATTCCTTCATTGTTTGCGGGGAGGGTTACATACTTCTCGAGAAGATCTTGCTTGGGGGATCTTCATTTACTAGAGATATCTCTCCTAGCCCTCGATAATGCAAGATTCGCGCTATCCATTATGGTCAATATAACCATGCTCACCAGCCTTATTTTTAGGGCCGAAGGTTTTGTTTTGTCGATACAAGAAAAAGAAAGAAAAAGAAAAGGTCCGATCAGGATGTTGTGTGGAGGGATTGATTCCAGAAAGGAGCCAATGTTCTGTCCATCTTTCAGGGTTCCAGGGGCTTTCAAATGGAATTTTCTCTTGGAGGGAGCGGGTTGATGTTCCATGCTCTTCGGCACGCGCTCCCGCTGGAGAGAATGCCAATGGGGGCCCCATCAAGCTAATGCCATCGAGCAACGACCAGGCCTATCTGCCCCTTGATGCTAGGTGCGCAGTGAGAAGCGGGTAACACTAACTGGTGTAGAACATCCTGACGTGGTTCGGCTGTTGGCAATCTGCCTCTGCTCCTGTGATCGCCAACAGATCCTCCACCTTCAGCTCTTGAATTCATATCGCTGAGGATCTTTGTCTGGTAACCCCGGCGGGATCTGGAACCCACACATTAGTTTCAATTCATGAGCGAAATCATTGAGATCATGCAAGATCGAGATCGGGTTGGATATCATTTTATCCCCGGCTCATGGTAAGTGAGCTAATAGGTGATTTCGAGCAAGTGAGGATCATTGATCAAGTCTTGCCTGTTACGGAGTTCTTCTCTCTCATTCAACTCAGCAGCCACACGCCTTCTTTGTTGATGGTCTCTGGGAAGTATCATTTCACCGTCCGTAACCCTTCACGAATCACACGGGGCAGAGTATGGGTTCGGGCCCGGCTTGGGCTCCGTTCCTCTATTATTAGTTTTGCATCTGGATATATGTGTGAGTATGCAAAGTAACCTCCGGAAACGACTGAGCTGATGCTAGCTTGAAGCCAGGGCGTTTCTCGTGTTTTGACCTTGTCTTTTTTCCTTTTCCTCCCCCTCTGATTGTTTCTTTCTTTTTCCTGTATTTTTTCCTTTTTTTTTTTTTTT